AATACCACTGCTTAGAGGAAAGGCAAATCCAGTAGCAAAATCATGAGTTTCTTTAAAGGAAAGCTCTTCAACTTAGGGAGACATTTGTTAGGAGTTTCATAAAGAAGAAATGTAAGGGATGGTGTTAGTACATTCTTGGGTAACTCCCCAGGGTTAAAGGATTCATAAAATGAAAGTGGTTTGGAGCAGGACACAGGAGGCTGGCCAGCCTAGTGATGGGACATGCAGGAAGCAGCATGTGTCAGCCATTATCAAGGAAGGCTGGAGAGTTCTGGCTGTGAAGTAGACACTGTTGCTAGTACCTGCTCTTACTGCTTTTGGTTTCAACTCTGACCTGGGTATGCAGTCATAAGTTTTGTGGTCATTGGCTCTGCCCTGGCTACTGGGCTGGAGACAGCAGAAAGTCTGTGGTGCATTCACTCTTTCCCTGAGAGAGGAGAACACCCCTCCGGCACACTGCCTCAGCAGCCTGCACTGTCCCTCTCACCGGTGTGGCTGCCTGCTTTGCTTTCTTTGGAACATTTCTGATGCCCATGCAGACTCTGGTAGCCACCAATAGTTGTGTAGCAGCTGAAGTAGTGAGATCATTGCTCAATTTGCAGAGTCTTAGTAATTTTGCTTTGTCAGAGGAATCATCAATAGGTGGGCTGAAGCAAATGTTAGACATGGGCAATGACATGCATCAAGCATCCTCTAACAGGTGCTCTCACTACCTGCTCCCTTTTCCCCTGGGGATTCACGTGACTTAAAAATCAGTGGCCAGAGCCTCTGCCAGCCATTTTCCACACTGCTGGCATGCAGCCCGGCCTGGGCTCTGCTCAGGAAGCTGTAAAGTGGCTCTGAATAGCTGCTGTGAAGCTGTCCCTGTGCTGCTCCTGTCGCAAAGAGTATTCAGTGCCACCTCACTAATGGATGGGTTTCTCCTATACAGAGTGCCAAACAATGCAGTGATGCATTCAGGTTTTATTAGTGTTTAGAGTTTAGCATGGCCGCATTATTGATAATGGAAACAGCACAAGAGAATTGCGCTGCTCATCCCAAACGCAAGACCATAAATCCTGCGAGCCACGCAGCACCGTCGAATTATGTGTTTGCACCACTTATTTAGCAGGAAAGCTATTTGTAGTCTCTCTGTATGTAAACCCAAGCTGTCTTAATATTGCAAGCCCAAACTGTGTTGGAGGAGGTAATAGCAACAAAAAAATAGCAACCAGTACATTTTAGAAAACTCAGTTGTGAGTCTACGATACCAGGGCTCAGCTCCCGCCGCCAAGTGAGAGGGGAGCAAGTGCTGTGGATGGGTGCTCTGCTGAGGGGGCTCAGCCCTTGCCCATCTCTGGGCTATGACGGGGGGTGCTGTATTTTTTTCAGGACCCGCTTTGCTGAGGAGTGTGCATTGTGCATTTGTGTGGGACATGGTGAGGCTTCGTGCTGCTGCTCGCTTGGTTTGCTTTTGCGGAGAGCAGCTGCAGCAGTGGGGGTGCGTGAAGAAAGCTCGGTGGAGGTACATTAATGGCCTGAGTGCGGGTAAGCTGGTCAAGAATTAAAGAAAATAGTAATTTACTGTGATGAGGACACATCACCTGCCTAAAATAAATCAGGTTTCAGGTGTCAGGAAGCAGTACCAGCTATATGCTGATTTGAGGTTATGTGTTCCTTGGGAGACTGAGCCAGAGGGAGTCAGCCTGGGCTCACGACCAGAAGCAAGCAGGGCCTTGGGAGGTAGTAGGCTGAAAGCACTGCCTCCCTTCATGTAGGCTTCATGTGGCTGTGAGGGAGATAAAACTGACTTTTGTGTGCTTCTGCATTCAACCTAGTGACCTAGAAATGAAGGGCTACAGAAGCTATTACCTACCTGCCTTTTAAACTACTGCTTCTTGCAGAACTCCTGTCACCCTGCTTCCATCAGCCTTTGCCAGGCCTGGAAGCTGGGCAGTGGGAACCCTGTGGCCCAAGCACCGTTTCTTTGATGCTGCACAGCACTCATTGAAGGAAATGTTCACAGGAAGATTCAAACACACAGTCAACTAACTACTATTAGTTGACTCAGATGCAATGGCTCAGGGAAATTACTGATCAGGTTCCTGTTGCTTTTTCAGGAAATATTGCCTGAACTTGTGGGAACACCTCCCTTCTCTCCTCCCCCATTCTCTCCTGCATCCATACCCTCTCCAGTATGGCCATTAAAGCAATTCATGCTGGGCTGAGAGAGGAATCTCTGATTTCCTAAGCCTTACCTCTGAAGGAAGCTCTCTGCACTCCTCCAGCTACTTTGTTCACTGTTGGTATTAGCACTGGAAACGCTGACAGTAGCTGCTAAAGGTTAAATGTGTTTGTAGAAAATCAATAGTGTGGTGCTCCGTTCTCCCTTTCCCCTCAACTTCTCGGGGGAAAATAGCCCTTGGATACATGAAGAATATGAGTTCACATTTCTCCATCTCAGAACACATGCATTTATGTAAGAGGCTTAAAGGATATCTTTTATGATCCTGGTACAGCGACACTTCTCTTAATTCAGTGCTTGGAAGAGTGACAGAGGCTTCTGGAAGTGTTAGTTATTATGCAGGGCATGTGTTTTAAAATCTTAAGTACCTTGATTGTCTCTCACATAGCTAGTGCTGTCAGCAGTTTGCACGGCGCTTTTATGTGCATTTTTCTTCCCTGAGACACCTGTGTTAAGTTCAGAACTGATTCTCCTTCTGAAGCAATTTATTAAACATCTTCAGTGCACCACTTCTGTGAAGAGGTCAATTTGTTCTTTCTGCCTAGAGATGCAAAACTCTGGGCTTCAGTTGGTAAATGCAAGTATTAGGTGAATTTCTCACTGTTTAACTTGAGCTATCTTCAATCTACTCTCTCTAGTGATCACTTCCTTTAACATAGGAATTTATTATTCGTGAAATGTGGAGACATGCTACTGTACCAGTACTCCTGTCTAGAGCAGGTGCAGTTGGGTAGCCTGGCACGCACACACTCTGCTCTTCGCCATCTTCTGGAGGACACATTTTCCAGATGACTGAAAACATTTGTTTCCTTCTTTTATGTTCCTTTGTCTTGCTTGCAAGATACCAGTCTGGTGGTGCTGGGTTGGCACACGTTCATGTCATGAGGTTCTGGAGCACAACCAGCCTGAAGCTGGTCCCTAAAGCAGTTCATGCACAGGCTGCTGGATACGTGTGAGGAGCCTCTGTCTTTCAGTTCTCTCTGAGGTGGCCTCTCTGGAGGTTAAAAACAGGACTCTGGGAGGGAGTCCTGCCCCCAAACCAAATTTTGTAATGATTTTCCATGTCTTACTGCTTGCAGGTCTTCAGGGTGGTGTTATCTATACATACTCACCCTCAAAGGTCCAAATACCTCTATGTATTCTTATTTGTGGGAGGGTTTTTTATTTTTGCTTGCTTTGTTTTTAATTTGGATATTTCTGATATGCAAATTGACCTGGATCACATCTATACATACTAGATACAACAGGTTTAATATTAAAATACAAATTTTAGGTATGATGAACTGGATTCAAATTAAAACTTACTTTGCAAGGCTTCTGCATGGACTTTTCCCCCCTCTTTTTTTCTGCCACCCATCATTCTTATCATTGTTCTGGGATCACTTTTATCTTGCGATTCTAGCTAGGAATATGGCTCATGGTGTTTGGCTAGATCACCAGTTCTGGAGGGAGCACATTTGCTGAAATAAAAATTAGTAGCTATTCCTAAAGTTACCCCTTGAACCTTGGTCAATCTTTAATAAGTAGACCTGAGGCAGCAGAAGTAAGAGGGAACATTTCTGTTGGAATATCAAATTAAACAGTCATTACAAGACAAGTATGGATTTACAAAGTTGATATTTCACCTGAACAGTGAATATTTTGGTAAAATTCTTATACTACTTATTACAGAAGTTATTACAGCTTTTTGGTAAGATTTTTATTTAATGTGATTTAATATAATTTTCTGGACTGTGTTTTCTGTACAGTGTGATTTCTTTCAAAGTTGTGGGGTTTTTTTGCGGGGAGTGTGTTCTGCTATTTTTTCTTACTTTCCTTTTAAATTTTTTTTGTTAGGCAAAGTCAGACTGAATTTAAGAAGTAAAACTGATTACAAAAAGTATTTGGAGAGCATTAATCAGTGAGAACTTGAGAAATAGCAGACTCTCAGAGCTAGTGATACAATATTTTTCTTCTTTCTTTTATCATAGAAAGGGCCTGTAGAAGTACGTACTTGAATCACTAAAAATGTCCAGTTCTCAAGGATGCTGACCAATTTGGTATTCTTAGTTTTGATTTAAATGAAATATTTTCAGCATGTGGTTAATTTCCAAACAAATAATAAAAAAAAATCTTGAACCATAAATGATGCTTTACATTTCCTGTTGGAAAAGATTTCAGAAGCTCATAAAATGTCTCCAGCCCTTACAATATATCAAGTCATATTAATTTATGGTAGTCAATGATCAGTCAGAAATTATGGAGGAGAGAGATGGAAAGCTTATAATATTTACTTACTTTCAGAACTGTATATCAGAGGGTTGCTTTTTTTTTTTTTCTTTTTTTTCTCCTTTATACACAACTCAGGCACATCATCTCTTCTTTCTTGCTTCAGGAAAAAAAAAAAAGGAAAAAATGAAAGAAAGGGGAAAAAATCTACATATTTGTATTATATTATGTTCTCCAAATAACAAATTCCCTCTGCCTGCTATCTGTGGGTGTGCAGCCCTTCCTCAGGAACATACTGTATCTTCTGAATTCCTGTGTTTGAGATATCACTGTGCTTTTGCTCTGAAGAACCATGAATGGGGCCATTATGAGGGGCCGACAGATAATTAAGATTCTGAGAGGGGTATGCTGCTAAAAGAGTGTTTAGTGAGGAAATTACAAGGCCAATAAAAAAAATGTCTTTGCTAGTTCCGATTGTATTCTTTTCTTCAGTGGGTCTAATTTTTCAAGGTCTGGCTGGATCATTATGAAGTTTTCTTTCATCCTTTTTTTTATCTCTCTACAACAGGAGCTGAGGCTGGAATGTAAGTCCAAGTTAATGAAGCAGCCTCAAAGTTGAGGAGGAAGAGAATAAACTGCAGCTCTGAGGTACAGATCATTGGAGATTCCTCTTTCAAACCCTGCCTTTCCCACTCACTGGAGTTATTTGATTTGGGAACAAGATAAGAATTCACAATATCTGATTTGTAGAAATAACCACGAGGAAGGAAAAACAGTCAGAAATACTAATTTCAGATATAATTTTCATCTCTCAGTATTCTAAAAGTCTTTCCCATCTCTAATATCATTAAGCAAATACAAAGTACAGATTTTGGGAAGTTGTGCACCGACTGGCAAATGGATCTCCAAATAGCCCACAGTTCAGCACTTCTTTTTCTGTCAATACTCCGTGACTAGGAAAGGTTTGGAGCATAATTCTGTTCCAGTAATCTATCTTCTACCTTTCTCTCTCTCTCTCTCTCTCTCTCTCTCTTTTTTTTTCCTAGTAAGAAATAGACCTGGAAATTCATTGCTGATTTCCCAGGAGTGTTATTCATGCCAGTTTATTTATGTATTTATTATTCAAGTGCAAACTATTGCAGTTCCTTGTGGTAAACTGCAAATCAAGCTGATGGAGGCAAAGGGCTGTCACACCAAGTGCTGTAGAGATGCTGATGCTGTGGCTGCTACTGCCCCTATGTGATGAGGTGTGAGGACAATTCAGCCTCCTTGGTACTCAGGTCTGCCCAGGCCTTGGCTAGAGCTGGAAAAAAACAGTATACTTTCACAAGGATTTAATTGCCTTCAGCAGCAAATTTAATACAAGTATGTTTTAACATGTGAGCATAATAGTTTATTGTGTTTAAGTGCTGGAGCTGCCGCTAGGAGAAATCTATATTAAGGCTGATAAGAAAGGGGCAACTTCAACTTGGAATGTGGTCAATTGCAAAAATAAAATATGTCTCTAATATAGCACTTGTTTATAGGCTTCCTTCTTCTTATTCCTGATTTTTCATGACCATTTCTCATAATTTATTCACATCCATGCACACAGTCCTTCGTTACTGTGTGAAAAACCTACACAAAGGCAGCTCATTGATTACACAGAGGAAAAAGTGAAATTCGTGTCAATGCTTAAAGAAATCAAATTAAAAGAGTTGTCATTTTACTTTATTGACTTGGTATTCCCTTTCATAACAAAGGATAAAAATGTGAGTTTGAAATAATTGTGTTCCTTTGTGTGGTATCTTGATTTCCATACAGGTATGATGATTTACACTAGCAGAAGTCCTAATTGCTAATTCAAATGCCGTCTTCCTATGCCATCTTGGTAGAGACATAATGTTCCTGTATTTTTCATGTGACCTTGTCTCATCTGCAAAGCTCAAATTTCATTGCCATTCTGGGAAAGGTTACTGGTGAGAAATGTTTGAGCTTTAAATGGATTCTTACATTTGAATAGGACGCATTTTTTTATGTGTTGAAAACCAGGCTTAGATCCAAATACCTCAGAAACTTGAGAAGATTGAAACTTGATTTAGACTGAATCATGCAACTTAAATCTATTTCAAGTACATAATTCTGTGTGCAAAGAGTGTAAATCCACATGTACATGTGTGTGCGTACACACAGAGGCACAACATATGTATGTTGATACATAACCACACAAATGTACATGTCTTGCTTTCGTCTCATACTTGGAAATAGTAAGTGACTTATATATCTTTCACAGGAATTCCATCAGTGTTTACTTCCTTAAAGAGAATTCAAATTTTAAAAGTTCTTAAATAATTTCTTGAGTAGCTAAATAATTACTGATAGGGAAAAAAAAACAAAAAAACAACCAAACCAAAACAAAGGAATCAATTTCAGTTTGGTTTTTTTTTTTTAATTTCTCTCATTGGCCATGAACTAGATTTTAGACATAAATGTAAGTAGGGTATTTAAAATGTTTATTATTTCCTTATTATTGTTCTATATGGAGGTCACTATAGATTTCAGTTTGAGTAGGACCATGAAAAGAAGAAAGCCCTCTTTATATGGCTAATACAAGTTAAATAAATTTTGGAAGTGTGAAGTAGTGATTGGCAGTAGTGATTGTGTGGGATGGATGGCAAAACAGGGAATCAAAATGTGGAAATAAAGTAGACATAGAACCATCCTGGCTTTTTTTGAGAAAATCATTGTCTGACTTCTGGTTCTGCAGAAACAAAGACAGGGCGGCCTGGATTTTAATCCTTTTTTACCATCAAATCCAGTCTTCAGGATTGTTTGCATAACCCATTACAGCTTTGGCTTATGTCTGTTCTGAATAAGCAGTTAAGAAGTTTGGGTATTTTTCAGTTCCCTGTGGGCTGGAAGAGAAAAGATATGCAGTACAGAGGACTGAAGGAAATTATTTGTTTAACTTTTGCTGGCCTGCATGGATGCACCTCCCTGAAGGCAGCAGCATTCAGCCACTCTCATTCCCAGTACAGACTGGTGCACCAGGTAGAAGGTGCTGGTCTCACAGACAGAAAATTTGCAGTGGTCAGTGCTTCAAACACCTGTTTACAGAGGTTTATATAATTTAGGAGCATAATAGAGCTGTCTGCTCAGGGTGCTCTGAACCTGGTGCTGGTTCCACCTTGGCAGGAATGGCTCAAATGGACGTGGGAAAAACAGAGAAAGCAGTCAAGTGTTATGTGCCTCCCCGAACCCTTGTTTATGAGCTTGTGCTAAACCTTTGCTGTACTGCAGACTCTTCCTATGAGAGTACATTTGTGTGTGTTAGCACACCAAATCACAGGAGCCAAATTTCATCAGCAGATTGTGGCTGAAGCAGAATTTTATGTGTGTAATTTTTTCCATATGGATGTGATTTTAGAGCAGGACACGACATAATAAAAGGGAGAAAATCAAACTTCGGCTTAAGTTTGTCTCACCTATAAACATGTATAAGTTAAAAAAAATTTGACTGAGCTGTTGAGAAAGTGCAAGGCTGGTGTTCTTCAGGTTGCAAAGACAAATATTTGGTTAATACCAGCATTACAAGGATCTGGACAAGACTTAGCCCTTTGGTGCAAAGTGCCCTGCAAATCCAAGGTATGAGACAGCTCCTGTCTCCAGGAATTTGCCTTCTCTGGCCATAACCTGCAAGGAGGGAGGATATCTTGCCTGAGGCATTGCAAGCGGCTAACTGGAAAGCTGAAAGCAGAACCCAGTTCTCCAGCCCAGTGCCTTGCATGATGAGTTTCACTTTGGATTGGTTACAGTTTTCCCACACCAGTGCCCTGCTGCACTAATTTGGATTAGGTCCCCATTGCACTTAATGCTTCCTGAGCATAGAGGAGGAAGCAAATTCTGCCATGAAAAGCTTGACAGTTGGAGCTACCTAATTGATGGGGTTATTTTAAATCCAGTCAGTTAAATTGCTACAGTCACCCTTTATTATAGACTAGGCAATTTTATTTCAAGTTAGCTTTAATCAATTAGGAATTGATTTTAGCTAAGTCAGTATAAGAACTGATCTGGTTTAACAAAATTGGTTTTAGAGAAGTGAAATGGGTGCAGATTCAACATGAGCCCAGAGAAGGCTTGCTTTCTCTTTTTGCCTGCTAATGATCAGGTACAGGATATCCCAGTAAAACCCCAGATCCTGCATGGCCTCAGCAGATTCTATCCCAGCCTTGAAACCTGGCAAAATAAAACATACAGAAAGGCAGATAATGATGGTTGCCTTAATGAAGGACTCTCTCCTCAGCAAATTGCACTCATATGCACAAGCACATCCTCATCCTGACTGCACTGGTCAGTGGAGGAGCTTTGGGAGCAGCAAGCGACATGCAAGTTAAGAACTTGATAACTCGGCTGGCCCAGGCTACAGCCCTCTAGGCCAATGAGGCTACAAACCATATTGGTCTTCCACTATGTGCTTTGAACACATTTGTTTTCAGCCAGTTTAGTGTTTTTGAAGAGGTTTGCAAAGATGGCTGAGCTGGAGGTATGGCAAGGAAAGTGGCTGGGAGCAGGTGGAGGTAGGAAGAGGAAGCAGCAGCTCTGCTTCTTGGCAAAAGTGTGGAGAACTGAGAATTGTCAACAGAGATTTTTGAGCTATGACAGTTTCTAATTATGCCTTGCCTTCAGGGCTATGAAACATTTGCAAGGTTTTATGACACTTTTGAAGCTTATTTCTCCAAATGATTATTCTGATATTTTACCACACTGTAAATAGGTACTCTATTAAAAAAAACCCCTTATCTCACTCTTTCATTTGCTGCTGTTGTTTTTATCATGATTGTTATGAGTTCTTATATAGACACTCTTATCACTGAATGTTGGAATCTTTCATTTCTGTTCTCATAAATTGTGAGAATAAAGCTACTGCAGTCTAGGACCCACTATTTCTGGTACTATCAGAAGTAAAAAGCAGTATTTCTGCCTAGGATATGCTTATTTTGTGCTAGAGACATTCCTGTGCTTGACTTCTTCTGTAGGTACAAGTAGTGTTAATGAGGTGTTAATGTGTATGTAGGCGTCGAAGACATGGATTTGCCTTTGATCAGTCAGTGTTATTTCCCTTTCTTTCTTCCTTTTTTTTTTTTTTTTTTTTTTTTCCTAACCTTGAAAAGCTGTTTGCACTATGAAAGCCTTCTGACTTAACAGAATTTTTTTCAGGAGCTGAAAGAACTTCTGAAAACAATGTCTAGTGAAACTCCCACTGACTGCAGTGGGGTCTTTGATTACAATTGTTTGAAGAGCAAAAATATACTCCCAAGGGTTTGCCTACATGCAGTGTTCATACTGCTTTCAATATAGCCTTGAAACTAGTATATTGAAAGCAGTATATAAACCCTAGTACAATGCAATTGTGCTATTATCAGGAAGTTATGCTGATCTTGTTTGATCGCACAAATGTAGATCAGACCACAGTCTCTCCCTATCTGTATTAGTATAACTTCAATGTTTTTGTTTTATTAAATGCACACCTAAGGAGCTAACTTGGCACAGAGACTGGGTGTATTAGTTTCTTGATTTATAATTATTAAAACACACACACAAAATGAAAGCAAGACATGTAAAGTGAGAAAGCTCCAGAAGATAGAAAAATTATGCTCTCATCTTATTGA